ACAAAGAAAAATTAATAAATACTATTTTTAATTCAGTTGTAATTGAATTCGTAATTTCATAAATTCGTAGTCCTTTTTCTTGGCAATCGCAGCAAAATTTAATCTTATGATATAGCAAACAGTTTCCTTATCGTTTTCATACAAGGTGAAAACTAGCTTTCAAACTGGGAATAACAAGTTTCTCGACTGGATTCTCAGTGTGCACCATGTATCACAAATAGTTGGTCAGTCCAGATAATGTTATTATGGACCAATCATTCAAAGTAAATACTAAACGACGTCCATTCTCAATTTATTTAATGTACAGATGTGACTAAAATAATGCATTTTGCTAATAAAATATACAAAATGTATGGAATATACACGGTTTCAGGGCTAAATGCGATAACTTGTGCTCGTATTTTTTTCTTTTTTTGGTTTTTTGAAACAAATTATTTCAGAGATGACGTTGATGGATAAGTGCATGTACTGGAAGCTGTCTACCCCTTTGATACCTCTGACAACGACCCATACTCAGATCATGACATTCATACACATTAGCCACAGTACCACGTGATGAAGAAAACTTGGTAGATTCAACCGAGTATGAAGCAGAGATATCAAAGGGTTCTTCCAGTTATTCCATCGGATGGTGACGTCCCCCACACATTCCACAGGACGTGCCACACCAATGAACAGCTCTTAATGGAGGATAAATCCACAAGCAAGGAACGATCAGTGATAATAATGCCAAACCAAACCATCTGCGTCCACATCCTTCTTCTGTGCTACAACTGCACAATTCAATGTCCATTTATAATGTATTTTTAATTATGCATTAGTAATACTCCCTAAAGCAAATAGCAACTATCTGGTTATCAAATAATTATTATACACGCGAAAGATATTAAAAACTTACACTTAGAATTTTCTTTACCACATAGCCTACGAAGTAGCTTTAAAAAATTGAACAAAAATAATCGAAGCAGATACTTTTATCAGATTTTACTCACCTGCAAGGATTCTGGGAAAAATCACCTTCCGCATCATTCATACAATGGTATAACATGCCCTGAGCACAAGACAGACACGAAATTTTTGCGATTCCTCGTCTAATAGGATCCGGTGCATATTCACAAGATCCTCTAGGATTGTGCTGTTCTGTGTACAACTCTTGGCAATGTTTACATCGTAATCGAATATTACGTTTCATAGTATTTTTAGAGGGTTGTGATACTATAGTATCTGGCTTCTTCAGAGAACTACTGGTATTATGTCTATTTAGCCGGTCTCCTTTATGATCACCAATGATGGGATATAAATATTCATGATTAAGCGTCGTGAGCTGCACATAAGGATAGTTATCTGATCCAACATCTTCAGTTGATGCTAAAGGATGTTGAGATGGTGGTACTTTTATAGATGGTCCACCAATATAATGAATAGGTTTGTGTGAATCAGGAAGATCTGAACACTGGGAATGATAATTGGGCACTCGAACTATTCCATGAGGTGTATCTGATGATGGACGTGGTTCTGGTGGTTCCACAGGCAAATTCAAAGTCTAT